GGCACCCACATAGCCGGACCTTTTGTTCCCCCCCCCCCACCCCCCCGTCGCAGCGGACAGCAGTTACTGTTGCCAGGGAAAACCCTTTCCGACCCTCCCCCGCTTGTCCTCCGGGTCGTGAATATCCAGCCAGGAATGGTCACCCCCCCCCCCGCCAGACCCCGCCCCCCGCGTCGAGCCCTGCATGGCCTCCAGGTGGTTCGTGGCATCCGCCACCATCATCTGGACCTTGAGGGGGTCCGTCTCTCCCAGGCACGACTTGAACTGTTTCCTCGCCTCGTCGGCCACGTCCTTGTCCTCCAGGGCCCTGGCCCGCTGTGGTGCAGTATGTAACCGTCAGCGTTTTCCGACGGCGGCGGTCCGCGGTGAACGGCGCGGCGCACACGGAAAATGACAACAAGAAAACCCAAATATGAAAACGGTTTTGTGGCACGCGCGAAGGGGGGAGGAGGAGGAGGACATCAGAGGAGCAAAGAGAGGTCGGTCAGTCGCGTGCGCAACCAATTGCATTCGTCTAATATTGGTCGTTGACGGTGTCATGGAGGACCGGAGGCCAAACGTCACGGGTGCAGGCTGTATACCGCTCAATTTTCAAGCACCCACGACAAGGTCGTCGTCTAGGTTAAGGTCATGAGGTCATGTTTTTAAGACCTTCCCCCATCGCGGATACAGTACGTTGATGCGGGCGTGCCATTTGCCGGGGAAGGCATCAATGATTGCAAACAAAGGGGCGCTTGGGAAAATAGACTTGGTGTGTGCCGAGCGCCAACCTGACGAGTGTCACCGCTCCACAAAACCAGTAGCCTTGGCAGTGTTCTTCGTATTATGTCAACATCCTTGGACAAAGCATGCAATCGGGAGAGTTGGGTTAGGGTTAGGGTTAGGGAATACGGTCTGCGTCCCCCCTCCCTGCTCTATTCCCTCATACACTTATCAATCGCGCGAAGGCGATAGCGCAAAAGCAAGCAGTCCGGCGAAGGCGCAGGCGATAGAAAAAGTCGGAATTGTCCACAGGCTCTGGCTGCGCGTTTGGCTGAAGGCGGTGCCGGACCACCCAACACACGGGGCCAACGCTGGTCGCCGGGAAAGAGGCTACCGCCCAAAACAATTGTTCCTCTCTGCAAAAGGGTTACACCCGTGTGGTTACACCCGTGTGGTACGTACCGACAGCCCCCGATCAAATGCATCAGGGCAGCACGTGCCGCAGCTTTGTACCGATAATTCCGAAGCGACGCGCGATCCAAGCATTCCCAATACGAGTCGAAAGGAACACCAGCCGCCAGCGAGAGAAAAAAAGCACCGCTTGTATAATGGCGACAACCAACGAACTCGGGGGGTATCCAGCCGCTTACGCGTGGCATTTGTGTGTTCATCCATCGCACACATCACGATCACAACTCTTGCCCTACCCCACAACAACCGAACACCTAGGCTGCATCGCCTCGACCAAAGGATAGCATGTAATAGTCTCATGCCGGAAAAGGGATACCAAAACAGGTTTGCGTGATCTCTGCCTCCACCCCTTTCCTCTCATTTCTCTCTCCCACCTTCAAGATCCCGCGATACAGCTCTAGCACTCGGGCCCGGTGCATGAACTCTTTCAGCCCGAGGGCCCCGCCCACTTTCCCGCCACCACCGCCACCGCCACCGCCACCGCTGCCACTACTACTGCTGCTGCTTCTGCTGCTGCTGCTGCTGCTGCTGCTGCTGCCGCTTCGCGGTCGCGGTCGACCAGTCCAAGGGTCGACGCAACTCCACACTGCTACCGTTGACTCTGTGCCGGAAGCAGCAGCGCATTGCTGCATCGTCGAGGCCGAGCGGAAGGGCGCCGCCCTTGGTCTAGCGTTGTTGGTGTGACTCCCTTCTCGGAAGACTTCCCTAGCGTCTCGCAGCATCCGGCCGCCACATCCTGGTGTGTGTGTTTTTTTTAAATTATTATTAGCATCGACCGCGCTAACCGGCTGACCAATGAAAAGACGTCAGTCTCAGTGCGGCTGAAAACACAAAACACGTGTGTGTGTGTGTGTGTGTGTGGTAAACAGGGCGCAGCGCCCCGCGAGGGTTTTCCAAAGGTGAAAAATGCATCGTTTGGAGTTGTTGGGCTATCGCGGGTGTATCAGGGAGAATCGAAATCCGCTCGAAAAGTGGTACAGAGGTGTCTGCAGGGGTGGGACATGAAAAAGCGAAGTGTCACTTGAAGGGAGTCATCCAGTCATTTTCGCTTTTTTTTCAGCCGTCAAGTCGTTCTACCAAGCAAGCTTATCCATATGCTGCAGCGTGCAATAGACAACGCGAAAAATCAACAAGGCAAAATAGACCAGTTTTCCGCTCGGAGGATGACCATTAACAGATACTGCAATCACTACTGCTACGTACCTTTGAAATCTACTGCTGGAAGAGTAACATACATACCCCACTAACGGCGTCGTACGGTCTGCGCCAACACCACAAATACAGCGTACAGCAGTAGCTCATCATCTCTATTTTTTGTCATCGAAATTGGTGGAACTAAGCCGGTGATGGTAAAAGCAATGTGCGACCCAACTTGCCCTCCCCCCAAAGATGTGACGGATGTCTAGACTACAACTCTGAATATCTGCGTGGGCTTGCCACCGCCGAGCTACACATACAGCAGTCAATCCTCGTCGACAAATGGCTCAAGTATTTGCCACTTTGCTGTTCCGCGAAATGCAAAGCAGTACACGCCTCCACACCTGGTTTTATTCGCTTGGTGCAGCACAGCATTTCCTCTCACGAATATCTGGGGAAGAGAGCACATTCACCTGTCTGCTGTGTTGGAAGGGGCCTCGCATGTATATCCTTGGCATCAGCACATCTCAGCACCTGCGAGGGGGCTCCGCAGGACAAGATGGTACTACCTTGTGTGCCCCCGCGAGGATATGAGACTGGACACAGGATGCGAGGGTAGACGACTAGAAGGCAGCAGGGCGGACGCACGGCGCATGGGAAAGAGAGAGACAGAGGTCACCCCCCCTCCGGCGGAGCCATGGAGTACGAGAGGGCGCTCTTCCGCGTGTACGACAAGTCGATGGAAGGCTTCCACTCTCGCGGCGTGAGGAGCGCGTGCAACCTGCTGCAGAAGTTGGTCTTGGTCGCCTCAGCCGGGCTTTTCGCCGCACTCTTCCTCTTGCACCACCAGTTCGTCAACAAGCCAGGTAATGCAATGCGTGTTGATTCGTCTACAGGAGAGCACACCGGGATACACAGGGACCTAGGTCGATGGCATTCCGCCGCGTTTGAGTGGGACGTCCCAGGCTTTGCCGGCGGTTTTGGGAGTTGTTGTACGATCTCGCCGGGTACAGAGTGCGGTCCTGGCGTGGAATCACGCCTTGCCTTTTGCCGTAACTGCTAGCGTGGTATGCATAGCTCGCTGTGTACTACGGGGCTTGGGGTTGTCCTATGAAGTAATGAAATAGTTATGCGTCCTGTCCTTGGTTTCTGTGGCTTACAGTCTAAAGCAGCGTCGTATTGCAGACGTCGGCTGAATATCTGATATGTAAGGCCATTTTTAGTTCCACCGCTGTCAACTCTGTAGATGAAGTTGTAACCGTGCTGGCCCGAGTGCTGAGTGCTGTCAACAACGGTGACGGCGGAGATATCCCTCTTCGTTTACACCTGGCGCGCATGCATATGCGCACATAAATGAACCGGTCATCAGCCCTCTGTGAACATTGCTAACTTACTCAAAGGCGTCGTAATTGTATGTATACATCGCCGTGTTTATTTGTTCTTTGACCGGTTGTTATCTTTACACCATCTGCCTGCTGGCTGGGGGACATACCCGTTCCAAATTTATGCCCACCAGAGGGCCAGACATTATATGCATACGTCCTTTTCGGTGATCAAGGTCATGGGCTCATTGCGGACATGACACGTTCAGACTTCGCTTGCTCGAGAGCATTCAAAGCAATAGCAATGCAGAGTACCACACAGTTGAAGAGGGACGGGGGATGCCGAAAACCCGCCGCTAAGCAACGGAAGAGAGAGAGGGGGGGTGGGGGGCGGGGGAGCAAGTGGTTCAGAGTGCTGTGGATGTTGCCACCCCGTTGGTTCTGGAGGTCGGTTTTATTCCTTTGGGTGCATACCCTTCGGACGTATCAGCCAGGCCCACACAGGGGAGTGGTCACACAACCACACAAGAGTTGAGAGTGGCGTGTAGAGATTGGAGATTAAGTACAGAATGAGTAGAATTTAGGGGGGTCGGCTCGACGAAACAACCTAGTTGACGGAGACAGCGGCGGCTACAACTGCAACGGAAGGGTGTCAGCTTGATGATCGCGCATGGCAGACGGAGGCTTCGCGCACAGAATCGATGCCCCCAACAAACCCGAATTGCAGCAGAAAGTTGTTTTTTCCCGAGTTAACAACGGTCGGCATGGTCTGATGCTCGGCTGACCAAGCCCTCTTTTCACGGTTTCCGCGGGCAGCTGTCAGAGCCGTAGTGCCTGCCGGCGTCCCTCGTCACGTTGAAGAAGAAACGGGGCTCCTAGGCACCGACGCAACAATGCTCGTCAGCCCAACCGCAAAATGACCCTCCCGTCCCCCCGCCTCCAGCCTACTAACTTTAACTTTTTCCCATTTGCACCGCGTTCTATTCCCACTCGTTTGCCATGCCCGCACCCGACATCAAACCAGGTTGCCTGGCTCCGTTGCTCGAAGAAGCGGCGTCGAGAGAAGGAGTGCTCATCCTGCCCACCGTGCGATCAGTCACCGCCAACACCACTCTGGGCGAGATCGACACGGACCCGGAGGGAGTGATCGTGGGCGGCCCAAACCAGGCGGGGGGGGGGGGCGCCGGCGGCGGCGACGACGAGAACGAGGAGGAGGAGGAGGAAGACGACCGCCACCCCAGCAAGATACAGCTCCCGTCGGGGAACTGGGTGCCGTACGACGTCATGGTGGGGGTCTCTATAGGCGACGGAGGCGGTAGCTCTCGCGGGAGGCGGCGGTGGTGGGGGCTCC